ATTGCTAATACTGTTTTCTATGCTATGAGCATTTCTATTGTATTACTTTAATAGTCTTCTAATTGGCCTACCTGAATTTTTCTGACCATATTTCTTCTTGAATTATCAACAAAACTGCCATGACTGTCACCAAACATGAAGCCCTACCATGTGTTAAATTCTGTGCCAAACACTGTGGATGCTATAGTGAATTCAATTATGAGCATGGGCTCTGGTACAGATCAATTCACAGCCTTGCTGGGGATGACAGAGAGTAAAGGGGAAAAGGGAAAAGATATAGCAATAAATTACTTGACTAATAACAATTTCATATTAGTTGAATGTCTATCATGATTTGGCACCAGAATAGTCTATAAGCAATTCTAATTCTATCTAAATGTTAAAAATCAGACTCATTTTTTTCTCCCCAAGATATACTAGCACCAGAAGATGGATGATTGTATTGAATCTTTATAATAATTCTGTGAGAAAGAAAAAAATTATTTCACGTTTTAAAGATCAGAAACTAATGTGTCTAAAGTGAAAGATTACAGAATGAACCCATATCTCATTTGACATGAGTTACAATTGTCCTTATTCAGAGCAACAGCCTACAGCTTTTGCACAGGTGGCACGTGAAGTGAGAGATGTAGTTCATAGGTGGAATTGAAGACTGCTTTATGTAATGGGTCCTTTGTGTTGATAAGCTAGGTAGAAGCTGAGTGCTCATAATTCAAGTGGTAATTTGAAACATAATTTAGTAAAAGTTTAAAGCTAATGGGAACATATAGATTATTTTAACCAATGCTCCAGTTCTAAAGAACAAAAAATTGAAGTTGAGAGGTTAAGCAATTTACTTGCCTGGGGTTATACAATAAGCCTTTGGGCAAGCTGGGACCCTTATGTGACTTTTATAAGTCATATTCCAATGTTTATTCCAACACACATGCCTCCTTGTTTTATTTCAGGCTTCTTTACTTTATTAAAGGACTCACCACACATTCCTTTTAAATTGCAAGCTTGTTTCTGAGTTTTAAGTACACTTAAATATTATAAAATTCAACCCAATGTGGCCTAAATATATCTTGAAATTTAAGTGTTTATATATGAGGAAAATGAAAATTGACAAAGTCTTTTCAGGGTGTTAGGAACAGACTAATGATATTAATAAAATAAAAAGACTCAGGAAGACATTTTGAATGACAAGAATCTGGCTGGGACAGCATGTCTAACTAAATCAGGTCCAGGCTAACAGCAGATAAACAAAAGGCCAGGCCCAGAGACAGAGTACTAAGTGGGTTAGAGATTCTGACAGAAAATGTGGTGCTCTGGCTTGCTCCCTGAGAGAGAAGCATTAAGCTGCATTGGAAGTCTCCTCAGAGCATCAAGATAACTGTGGGCCCTGTCTTCTCTGACACATTTCGTATAAAAGGAACCTTCCCCCTTTTGTGCCAGTTTGCATATCTTTAGGGTCAGTTCACTCACTGATAATTGTGGTAAACAAGCCCAGAGAATGCACCCCTTGATTATGCCTGCTATGTTAACATTTTCACAGAAAGCAAGAGTATGGTCAGATGATATTTACCCACCTCTTCTCATCGGCCATTGTATCCCCTGGGAGATTTCTCTTTTCATGGGTCTAAGGACAGAATTTAGCCTAATTTGTGGGCCTTTTGTGCTGCTCTTTTCCAGGATTCTTCCCTTGAACAGGATAAAGATTTGACTGGAAACTTAAATATAGTTAAACACAACACAGAATAAAAGGGCCAATCATGCTTGCCTTCAAGTCTCAACCTCTTTCATTTCCTCAGATATTGCAGTTGTCTCATGTTTCATAATTATACCGTTTATATGTTTATATATATGTATAATTTATATGACCTGAGGTTAAGACTATCCAGTCTCCATATGTACATTTGTAATGTTTGCCAAGGTTGATGAGGAAATAATGGGGCTATGCTATCGTGGACCAGACATTTAAAGCTTGAAGACCTCAGAACTGATTGCTTTCCCAATGAGGACAGACATTACAAATTAGTTATGTGGTTTAAGACACAGTACCACATTTCAGAGGACCATATAGGCATGACCTTGGATACCAACGGACTCTATAGCATATTTTGAAATTGGCGTTTCTTACTAAGGCTTTCTCTAGGATGGAGATAGCAACTGCTTGTTATAAAGTAACAGAATCAGGTACAAATATCTAGTTCCTATTGGTTTAAGGATTCCTAAAATAAGAATTTATTCCAAAAGAAGGGCAGAAAGTAAAATATATGCCTAATTGAAAGACTTAAACATGTTTTACGGTAAAACATGGAATTCTACCTTTCTTTTGGAATAGCTTGGGCAAAGAGGATTTGGACAAGATTTAAGTAAAAATTATCTACAATAGTCATAATATTATTGACTATTGATAATAATTATCAACAAATAGCATTTGTTAGGAGGCTGGTGTGGAATAACACATATAGATTACCTGAGTATCTGTGTTAATTGTCTAAAATGAGATGATGATGATAATAAGACATCATGATGATGACGATGACGTGCTACTGTAATTGTTTAAAAGCTCAGAACTTTAATTTTGTATATAGGGAAAAGTAATAGAACCAGTTTAAAATGAAAATATATGAGTTATATACTTAGGGCTTCAGAAACTATTTAGCATATCATCGACATTTATGATTGTTCATTTATCGAGTAGGTCATATAGAAGCTGTTATACCCAAAGTACTGATTGCAGACAATAATTACATGAATCATTCTTACTTTCACAAATATAATTCTCTGCCCCACTCATTGAAACAAAAGGTCAGATGTTTTTCATTATAAAATTCATATGTGCAAAAAATTATGATAAAAAACACTTAGACAATTAAAGAAATAAAGACAAAAACAACTATTTTCTCATCACATAAAAATAGCCACAATTAATACTTGGTGTGTGTCCTAGTTTTTAATGCATTATGTTTTGTTTTCAATGTATGTTATATAAAGATTTATTTTGATATTGTGTGAAGAATTTAGAATATTTTTAAAAACTGTCATAGCAACATAGCATTTTCTATATTATATTACGTTATTTTGAATAAATATAAACATCAGGTTTTACAGTTGTGTGAGATTACATAAAGAACATGTTTATCCATTTGATATTGCTAAATACTCACGTTGCCTCCCATCTTTTACTTTTATAGATAAAGCTAGACAAATATGTGCTTAAGGCATTTTCAATACTTTTGTTTTTATTTGCTTAGGAGAACTTCCTAGAAATAAATTATCAGGTCAAAACGTTACTTTCCAAAATACTTGCATTTTTACAATAATCAGAAAAAGGGGATAGCAAACTTTCTACCAGTATACTAGAAATCTATTGAAGTTTGTTCATACATATTTCTATTGAACATCTTAGGTATATAGGCATACTTTTTTATTGTGTTTCCCTTTAATGCTCTTCAAAGATATTGTATTTTTTACAAAGTGAAAATTCATGGCAACTCTGCCTAGAGCAAGTCTATCAGCATCATTTTTTCCTACAACATGTGTCACATTTTGGCAATTCTTACAATATTTTAAACCTTTTAATTATTATTATATCTGTTATGGTGATCTGTGATCAGTGATCTTGAGTGATCTTTGATGTTGCATTATAATGGTTTTGGGGTGCCACAAACTGCACCTATGTAAGATGGTGAACTTAATGTCGTGTGTGATGCTGCGTTTTTACCTCCCCCATCTGTGTGGTCTCTCATAAGCAGTACTCTTAATGGGATTGCCCCAGACATCCATACCCAGTTTTGTTCAGAGCTCCCTAATAAGACTCGATGAAGGCAAGAATTGAAAGACCTAAGTTCAGACTGTACAAAGGAAATTACATTTCCAAAGTATGATTTTTCCATGAACTCAAGAACCTTCTTTTGACTTTGTCAAAGAAATGTCTTTTCATTGGAAAAAAAATAAAACTCCACTAGGTGTTTTTGCTTTGACAAATTTAATAGTAATAGGCCTAGAGACAGGAGACAGATGCTTCTGTACTCGAAATATGCAGCTGGTGTGCCAGAACTCACATCTTCTTTCTCTGCTACCCTTTGTTTCATTAACCTTCAGAACTCCTTTTAGTCCTCCATATTAAACTAATCTTATTATTCCCTTAAGAGTCTGGCATGAGCAACAGAACATGAGCAATATCAATAATTGGGTTAACCAATTAGGCTATCATTTAATTTAATGGAGGCCTAGACTTTACCCCAAATCTTAAATATGTAGAGGTAAAACTGGAAGCTCTCATCTTAGCTAATGTGATATAATTTCCTAATGTACCTTTTTCCTCATGTCTAGATAGATTTTGTCCAATCTTTATGAAGCATATTGCTATAACTTCTAATGACACTGCATACTTGAGCTCACCTAAAAGCACATTGAAAAAATGAAATGGGGGCTGCTTCAATTGTCTTAATTTATCTTACTCTCTCCTGGAAGCTCTAAAATGAGAGCTTCCAGGTTTACAGTTGTGTGAGATTACATCAAGAGCATGTTTATCCATTTGATATGGCTAAATACTCATGCTGCCTTCTCTCTTTCACTTTTATACATAAAGCTAGACAAATATGTGCTTAAGGCATTTTCTATGCTTTTGTTTTTATTTGCTTAGGAGAACTTCCTAGACTCTCGTAATTTTCACAATTTAAATTGTATATCTCATTGAGAGTGGGTTAGGAAAAATCTTTAAATATGAAGCTCATAAGCAATTTTCTCCCCTTTTCTAGCACCAGAAACATGCTATCTGATTACCTGTGGATATTTTTATTACTTCCTTTGATTTTATTTTCATTCCTTTCATTCAATTAATTCCTTTCATTGTTACCTCTTTGCTTTTGCCTGATTTTCATGCTCATAACACTTTCCAGTGTAGTAACAGGTATTGTTCTCACTTTTCATTCTATAAGTGTTCATTTTGTATTAGGCATGCTTGCTTCTGGAATGTAATACCATAACCAATGAGTATTCAGTTTCAACAGGTCAGAAGTTAATTTTAATTCATAAGAATTATCATATGTTAGAAAGTAATCCAGATCTGATCAGGCCACTTTTTCTTTTCTGAAAAAAAAGGGGGAGAATACAAATAAGTGCTTTTCATAACTCAAGGTTGTTGCAAAGATTAAATAAAATAATGGATCTACAGTACTATACAGTGCTAATCATATTTTTATTGTTATTGTTGGTTTATTATTATTTAAGACAAAAGAAATTTTTGTGTTATAGGCAATCAGACTAATATAGTCCAATTTGGGAACCAAACTTACATTTAGCTGGAGTAGTCATCTGTTCACATCGTATTATTTCTGGGATGCTGAACAGGGACCAGTGCTCTGAAATATACTTCTTCCTCTTACTCACTGGTGCCTGAAGATAATTCCCTAGAGTGTCATTATTTTGACTTAAGGTTTTTTGGTCCCTGTTAACATGAAAACAGCCCTGAGAGCATAAACATATTTATATCATAGTTAAATGCAACATATTTTCAGTACCTTTCTTACACCTGGGATTCATTATTCAGGAGTTAAGAGCTTGAAGGGACTGGGAAGGCTTAGGCCAGTGCTATGTATCATAATACTGTCCACTATATTTCAATATGGTTATTTGCTTCTGAAGTTTAGGATCTTTGTTTCCTAGTGACTTATGATTTTTTAAAAAATATCCATACCTAGTCATTGTATTATCTGAACACTAAATAACAATTTAATTGAATGGAAGAGAGAATTTCAGTAAGAAATTGAAATATTTTACCATTTCTTTTAGCTGGACAGCAAGCATTAGGCTTCGATGCTAAACTGTGACGGACACATTTCTAGTGGCATATGGCTTCTTGGAAGGCTTTCTTGGTTGGGAAACTGGCAGTTCTGAAGTTACCTCTGGCTAGTCACATGGTTAGCTTGCTGATGGGCTGTCTGAAGCTTCCAACAGACTTTTAGAATCATCAAAACACATTTGATTCACATTGAATCTTTCGTGTCACTATAAGCAATGGAGCTACTTTCTTCTTCTATCAGAAGTACCTAAAATCTTAGTGTGAAATCTGGTTGAATATTTTGCTTTTCAATATTAGAGCCTTCCTTCTCAATTCCCATTAGATATCAGATATCCAAATACTCTTCTCTTGGATGAAGGTATCAAGACTCATTTCCCAACTCAGCTGGTGGTAATTGAGCTGAAAACTACTTCCCTCCTGAATCATCTCATCTAAGGATCTGAATAAACCTTTCTACTTTAGCCCAACTCACTTCAAGAAAAGAACTGTTTACAGCTGTGTGGCACGTGAGGCTCTGGGGACCCTACTGCACAATATGTTCAGTTTCTCTGTGCAAAATATGCTTGAGAGATAGAAAATTCTGAAAGCATGATATTGATAACAGTTAAAGTCTTAATGAATGTTTCTCAGAGGGTAATTTGTAAGCAGGTCAACATCCTTACCTTTGGAAACAAAATATGTCTGTTCTCATTTACACCAAATGTTTATTTTATAATTTGTTTTATGGCTAAATATTGAGCTAAAGGATTAAACCAATGAGTAGCGTAAAGGTTAGCAGCAGTACATATAAAACAGTACAGTGGATTTGTATAATTACAAATTGCAAACAGCTGTTTTTTTTTAATAAATGAAAATCCACTTTCTCATTTATATTTCCCCCAATAGAAGTTTAAATATATTTATAGTCCTAAAATAGGTATGAGTGACTAAATCTGATTTTTTTGCTAACTTTTAAGCTATATGCATATATATTTAAAAATAAAGAGTTCCAGTGGAAAAGATCACTTTGAGGAATTAGAAGAACTGAAATCTTTTTCTGGCTTTGCTACAATGTAAATTACTGATTTGAGATGAGTTCTGTAACTTCATGAGACCTCTGTTTATTCATGTGTCAGTTGGGTGTTCAAATATTAACTCACAGATTTCTTGGAAGGCTAAAATGAGATTAGAACAGTAAAGGTACTTTAAATTTTTAATGCAGTATCAAAATTCACAGTATTTAGTATATTATACAACATTAGCAAATCATTATTTTGAATATTTAATCATAGATATGATTAGTTCTAAACATAGTTGTGCTTCTCAGACAAGATATCATGTGAAACATGCATTTAAAAAGTACACCAAGATTTGCAGTCAGAAAACCTGAATTCTAGTTTCCAAAAGATTGACTTGGGTACAAGCCTTCGTCCTTCTGAGCCTTCTCAGTTTTCCATCTCAGTAAAATGATCATAATAAGTAGTTAGTATCTATCTCACCAGACTGTTGTAAGAATTGAAGTTTTTAAGTAGGTGTATAAGCACATATACACTCACATATATTTTTAAATTTAGTGTGATGCTAATCATAATAATTATAATACCAGTTAGACTTTAAAGCATCCACTCTTCGATACATTCCATGATATAATGGGGAGAGAATAATGGATATAAATCAACAGCACCAGTTGAATAAAAATTGGCCTCCAGCCAACTATATCATTTAGTTTATTTTCTGACAATGTTTTTAGTTTTCATCATATTATAAGCCTCTGGCTTTGAAAATCAGAGCTATTTTACACAAGTGTTCCAAAGTATCCTGATGTTGTATGAGTTTTATTTTTAAAATCCCATTGTAAATTGGAAAAACAAAATGCCCACTCAAAATTGATTATTATATTCAAGTGGATTATTTTCATTTGAAGCACTTTGTTTAAATATTACCTCCCTGATTAGGAGACAGATTGCAGATCAAATTCTTTAACCCTACTATGGACAAATACATATAAGGAAATATTTTTGAAGGTTCTCAGATTAACTACAAATTTTCGATGGCCCACATATATGCTGAACCATACACATCCATGATGTCTTTTTATAAAATTTAATACTGGATTTTAATGTAAATGCTCTCTTTAAAGTTACATTGAGAAAGTGAGCAAGTAGACAAGCAACTTGTGCCAATGAAAAGTATATGTGGCAGATAACGTTTTTTCCCCATAGTTTATTGTCTCCATATTGTTATTTCCTCTCTCTACTTTGAGTGAATAGTCAAGCCCACTGTTCCCTTGTTTTATGGAATCTTGCAGAGCTGGAAGCAGCATGGTTTGAAATGAAATGTTTTTTTTTTGTTTGTTTTTGATTAAAGTCTATGCTTAGCCTTAAAAGGGAGAGAGGTGAGGGCAGTTCTGAGCACATGGAAAAGAATTCTCCTCATCCTGCTAGAGGTAGGAGAGAGCCACACTAGCTCTAATACTGCCCTGGGGCTCCGAGGATGCAGAGAAAATGACCACACCCACAGCTGAGAGGCAAAAGCCCCTGGCTGGGGAAGGCCAGGCCTTGGCAGAGACATGAGCGCCAAGTAACAAAGTGTACCGTGGCTGATGGTGGCACGCCTTCACAGAGACTTTTGTGCAATTAGAGCTCTTAAATAGATACAGAACAACAATAAAAAATGCACCCCTTCTCCCAAAGAAGAGAAGAAAAATAATCACCATTACCACCAAAAATGAGCAACATATTTTGCATTTAAATGGTTCATCAATACAATATTGCAATATATATAATTTCTTTTCTATTAAGAATTATGGTTATTTTATATGGGTATCTAGATAGAAATATATGATTATGATACATTTAAGTGAAATACTTTGGAAGTTATTAGGAAAATAACTCATCATTCTAAAAACTGGTAAATAAAAGCAAAGAATCAAGGACTTTTATTCTGAATATCCTGTCTACAGTTTGACCTGGACATGTACTCATATGATGATTTTTTAAAGATCTTCAGGGATTCTCTTGTGAGGCCAAGGTCGAGAACTATGACTCTACATGTAACTATTGTTTTACAGGATGTCACGAAGTACAGATGGCAAATGACATCAAGAAGATGAAATTAGCTAAGTCTGGAATGTGAGACACTGTACAGTCTGATTTTTCAAAGTGTGGCCGTGGGCCAACCGCTTTGGCATTAGGTGGGAGCTCGTTAGAAATTCAGACTGTCGGGCCTCAACCCAGACCTACTGAGTCAGAATCTGCACTTTAACAATATCCTCAGGTCATTCACAGCTACATTAAAATTTGAGAAGCACAGTTGTACAGGCTCAGGCTCTTCAACAGCTAAAGAAGTATAAAAAGAGAGAAAGAAAATTTACAAATTAAAAGATACAAGACATATATCAACACAGAAAATGTGGAAATCATTAGGATCCTGATTCAGACAACCAGCAGTTTAGAAAACACATATGCTTATTTGGAGATAATTGGGAAACTTAGAGCTAAATGGATATTTGATGATGTTAAAAAATAATTATTAATTTCTTTGAGATGTAATAAAGTCATAAAAAATAGAGAGTCCTTATCTCTTAGTGATTCATGCTAAAGTATGTATGGGTTAAAATTTATGAAGTTTGAGATTTGCTTCAAAATATTTCAGATGGAGAAGGGAAAAGTATATTGAGTGTAGATGAAACAATATTAGACCTGTGTTGATAATTACTCACAATGGGTGATGAATATCGGGGAAGGTTCATAATACGATTCTCTTTGATTTTGTGTATGCTTGAAAATTTCCATAATAAGTAAAAAAAAAAAAAGAATATTAAATGACTTGCTCAAGTACTTCAATGAAAAAGAAGTGGCTTATCACTTTGCCTTGATTTTGTCCTATTTCCAGAATACTCATTTGTTTCTCAGTACCGCTTCCCATTCATTCAGTGTATACTAAGTTTGAGGCATTATGCTATGCTTTGGACACAGTAAATTTTTGCAGGAGATGGCAGTAAAGAAAAAAAAATCATGAAAAGTACTATAATAGAAGCATAAGCAGGATCCTGGGACAGAGAAGAAGAACTATCTTGGCCACCAACATAGACACACGTTTCACAGAAGGAATGGCATTTAAGACGATTCTCGTTTGAACACTGGTAGATAATTTCTTCTAGACAGTGGAATCAACGTGTATAAAGACAATAAACTGTGAAAAGGCCTGACATATTCTTGGATGGTAACACATACAATGCAAAGGAAAGAGTTCATGGCAAAGAAGTGCTGGTAGATAAGCTTGAAGAAGTAAGGGAGAATCAAGACAGGAAGGAGAGATCACAACTGCCTTGTTTACTGTAGCCCAGGCACCTGGCGCAAAGAGCTGTGGACAGTGAATGAATACATGGCTTGTATCCTGTGGTCAATTAGCAGCCATCAGATATCTTAAGTGTTAGTAATGTGATTGAAATTTTAGGAAAATAGCAGTGACAACAGTGTGGAGAATGGTCTAGATGTATAAACAGGTGATGAATGGAGTAAAATGTTGCTCTTACAGTTTAGGAAGGTAATGGTGGGTGCTGAACACATTGATTGCCACACTAGAAAAAATATATTTTCCCTGAGGCCACAGTGTTTCATTATAACAAAATGATTCTTTCTAATTTGTTATTTTTTACTGTTTTCTGTGTGTGAGTTATATGCAA